CTTATATGTCAAGGAGTCAGTGGGAGTCTTAATGGTCTTGAAAAGGTTCAAGAATAACAAGAATAAACCTATTGATCATCACTAGCGACGACTTGAGGTTTGTAACCTATCGTGGATGACAATTTTGTTTTTTTGCGCCATTCCAGTTAAGTTAGTTATGCTTCTGAGTTCTATGAGTTCTCATTTGTATGCATAAAGCAAGCACCTTGATCAATGGAAGGTACATTGATGTAAGGGTGAGTTTGCTAAACTACTTGAAGACATGGTGGGCACTCGTGTTACCATGAGGCAAGAAATCAAGATTGAAAAAGTTCAGTCCATATGTTTTTGGATTTGTCACAAACTTCGTTTTGGCAAATTCACATGGAGGAACACAATACACACCATAAAACCTAAGTGACATAAGGTTTCCCTCCTTCATGAAAATGATTTGTGGGAAATGCTTTCACTAAGAGAGATTTTCAAAGAAAATAGCAAATGTGTGAAAATTGTATTCTCAAATTCGATTATGATTACGGCATCCCTCTTCATAGTTCGAATTGTGAGATTTGTCAATTAGTCTGAACATTTGGGACTTAGTTCTGAATTTTGTCTTAGACCACACATATGAGCTTCTAAGGCAAAGGTGTATGAGTTTAAGAAGCTTAGATAAAGGCTTATCAAAGCATCAAGTATTAGAAATATGAACTTAAGAATTCAATAAGCATTGTTTTCTGGAAGTTCATAGTTTTCTAGATATATGTCAAAGCTAGTGGGAGCATAAGTGTTATGCTTGTAGTGTAATAATCATCGTGTTAGTGGGAGATGATTATTATTTCAAGTATTGCGAGTTAGCATATTAATAATAGAAAACAAATATTAACTTTGCAGCTGGCTGTAGGGGTTGAAAAGTTGTTTTGCTATAATTAAGGGAGAAGAATATACTTCGTTTCAATATCTAAAGCTTAGATTGAGAAATTTTAATAAATTTAGTCAAAGGATACATAGTGTGTTCTCAAAATTTCGATTATGATTACGCATCCCTCTTCATAGTTCGACTTGTGAGAACATGGACACATAAAATATTATGGCAAGAAGATTGATAAAGTATCATATCTTTATGTAAGACATTATGCATCGTGTCCCCATACGCTTAGGGTATAGGACGATTGCAAAGCTATAATATTTGACCATTCTAAATTTTCCAAATGCCTAGGGACTTAAGAGGCAAAAGGGACTAGAAACTGGATTTGACTAAAATAATTAAACAACTATCAAAGGACGATCTAAGGTTCGCCAAGGAATTGTGTGTTTGTGAGTAGTTGGAACTATAGTACTGGATGGACTATATTGACATTATTATGAATAGATAAGATTCTATTAAGAATGAGTTGTCATATGGCAAATATGGAAATGTTTCCATTAATGGGAGTTGGATATTAAGAAATATGTCTAGATTAGAAACTTTTATGCGAGAAGGATGTTCAAAGGAATGTACTTTGAGTGAGAGACATCACATCTATAGAATTGTTTTATGACAATTTCTGATAGAGTACTTGTGATTTCATTGGCCAGGTCTTGGTGACTTTTGTGCTATGACTTTACGAAAGGATCGTTGCATAAAATGTTAGAATCTGACATATTCTAAAAGTGGCAAGAATTTGGTATTCTACACTAATGATAAGGATTGGGATTGTGAAATGAGTTTCATTGGAAAAGTTTTTCAATTGATCTATTTCACAGAGTATGGACCATAGGAAACCAAAGTGTGCATGCTTGGAGCATGGGACAATTGTGGTTTAATTCGAGTAATAAGTTGATTTTCTGAAACAGTAAGCAATGAATAATGAGTAATCAATATGGTGTTTAAATAAAAGTGTTTTATTTACGCTCAAAAGTTTTGGGGTATATAGGATTAATATTATCGTTGTGTTTCATTTTGCATGTTTTGACTTCCAGAATAACTGGGTTATTCGAACCTCCACAGTCGGTCATACGTTGGAAGTAGGTATGAAGGAAGACTGTCATGAACTTTCTGTAGATGTCTAAGTGTTTAGCCATAGCACAAGTTTGCTGCAGAGTTCGAGTGCTTTGATAAGATTAAAGTATTGGATTAAACCCACGCTTATGGAATCAATTCATGGTTTTTATCATGAGTAATTGTGAGACGATAACATTGTATATTCTTGAAACCGAGAGTGTGAGTTGTTATTTGTTGGTCGGTTGCGCATTGATAATAAGTAAAACGCCACCAGTAACTTGGTGTTATAAAACTTATTATTGTGTTGTGATTTCGATCAGTAAATGCAAGCGAGCA